GAATTAGTGCCATAAACTACTTAGGACACTAAACATTTATTAGCTACTATTCCTATTCCTCTGTCACAGCATGTTGAAGAGTAATGGCTGTGTGAAGGATTTGATGGTGAATGGATGGATCAAGGAAGGAACCTTGCCACTGAAGCAATCTCCAGGCAAGATTGCAGTTTGTTAAAGTGAGCTAGGCCTTCTGACACACGAATATGATCCTTCTTAGGAGAGGCTAATTCCCAAGTCAGGTTGGTTTCTGCTTCCACGTGCAAATAAAGGTTATAAAAACGACCTTCGATACACAACTCTGTCTACGTCAGAATAACCTCAACATTCAGACTGGAGAAAAGAACAGATATGCAGACCACAGTGTTGCCATGAAAGGTACAATTGTGGACCACAGTGTTGCCATGGAAGGTGGAATTGGGGGGTCACAGTGTTGGCATGGAAAGTGGGGTTGTGGATCACAGTGTTTGGGCTTATGTGCACTTGTATATCCTCTGAACTTTCCAAATGTGCCAATGAGCAAAATTCTACTCGATGAGCAGAGAAGGAAGCAGAAAACCAGCATAATTCCGATAAAAGTGGCAATGAAGCTAAGTAGCAGTGTGAATCACCATAGTTAGAGAGACTTAAAAACTAAATGTTCATTCCAGAAGGGTTGTGGTACCTGACTTAAAGCAAAACTAATGAACCCATCACGTCAAGAATTCGTCAGATAATAAAGAAATTATCAAATGCTAATAAATCGCACGGGGATTTGCACGCAGGCAACCTGTGCCACTGACAACCCATCGCAATGGGCTGCCAGTTCTTACTTGGGCCCTAGGAAAAACGTTAGGAATTTTTTTCCCCACAAGAGGGCGATAACTGCACAACGTTTCACAAGCGCGTGTTGGTCAAAGGGATACACGAATAAAATAACTTTCCAGGGGCCACCCGGCCAGAAGAATAAGAAGCGGCACCCGGGAGACGGGCAAGGACCAACGTCCACACACTCAGGCGCTCAATCCCACGGGAGGAACCGGTTTATGGAGTCTATCAAAAACCATGCATGTTGCCTGTCGTTATGTAAGCTTGTCAATCAAAACTGCACATCAGATCAAATCTGAGGCATTAGACTGGCCTAGCATTTTCCTCTGTGAGTTAACTCAAGAAACCAACGGGCATTCCTTCAACCATATGATTCTCCATCTGTATATATTCCAGAATATATACTTCAAAGTAAACCAAGATTGCAAACCAAGGGTTTGGGGATGAGCAGAGGGGTGATTTTTATTTGAAAAGCGATATATTTGCATTCCTACATCTATCTGCTTTGTTTGTTTGAAGATACTTATGGATATTTGAAGTTTTGCTCTTTCCCATCTTCTGAGGTCCGTTCGGAATCCTCCAGTGGGGCGCTCCAGTTCTTGTTCCACAGGGTCGTGCGTGCTGCAGCTGTTTTGCAGAGGTGCTGGGCTGCGGGTTGAGGGGAAGGCAGCTCTCAAGGAGGCTGAGGCGAGTCCGGGAGAGGGGTTCCGGGTCTTTTGGTAGAAGATCCCACCAGACATCTGCTGGCGCTTCCTTACGGGTGAGCAGGGAATGCACACAACCCCCACCACTCCCACCCCGCGCCAGCCACCAGAGCCTTCACTGCCTGCCCGGGTGTGGGTTGACCGGGTCTTGCTCTCCTTTCTTAATCTCCTTCCCCTTGGGCAGAACTTCCGGTCCGGTTCCCACCTGACAACATTTAACAGCAAAGAGACCCACTAACGTTCCTCCCCCCACCCCTTTTGTTCCCTAGAGCAGGCTGGGCCAGTTTGGGGACATTCTTGTGTCTTCCTTGTATTTCTTTGTAGCCACTAGCTCATTTTGTTAACATTATTTTAAAACTAATCTTTCTCTTTTTCAGCCCAAAAAGGCCCCACTCCTGTTGTGGCATGGTTAGTCTTCCAGCGGGTTCGACAAAACAGGTTCCGAAGAGACTTCTTGTTGTTTAGTGTATGTTGTTTTTGTTTTGTTTTGTTTTTTGTTTGGTTTTGTTTTGCCCGAATCACATAATCTCCCGCCCCCTTTTTTATGTAATAATAGCCTTTCTACACCACCCTCGAGCATCCCGACATTTGACACTAATATAATCAGGGCAGAGGCATTGGTGTCTTTGAGGAGCCTAGGTACAGTTAGCTGAGGTTTCATTCGCATTCATCCCCAGTGTCAACCTGGATCTAATGACGGCTCCTTTCTCTTAAAGCAGAAGTATCAACAGCCGGTGGTGTGGCGCTCTGCGTCAAAGGTCAAGGGAGAATGCAGAGCCCCGTGGATCCGGCAAGCTGCAATCCCCAGGAGTAGGCTGCAACTGGAATCTGGGCACCGGAGAGCCACAGTCCCCCAGGATCAAAGTCCAGGGGCAGATCATCTTCCTGAGGCAGCCCTGTGAACCCTTCCTGCAACTTCGGATTTGCCAAAAGCTTTCATTTATTTTTAATTAAAATGCAAATCATTTGCTTTCAAGCACAGTCTGGTCCTCCCCATATATAGCTGTATACATATAGAAACATAATGTTGGGGAGAGCAGGGACCATTGCTTAGACCTGCTTTAGTGGGAAGTCGGTATAAGAACTTGGAGGCCCGGGTAGGTCCCCCAAGGAAAACCAAGTCTCGTCCCAAGAGTATTTGGAACCCACCAGGCAGTGCCTGGCAGGACCTGGGCCAGAGTGGATCACTTGAGGGCAAGGCGATCTCTACCCGAATGAACCGAGCAGCTCACTCTCCTGGGACGCTGGGGGCAGACCCCCAACATAACCTGGCTAGAGGCATCCGCCTTTCTTCAGAGGCTGGCAGAGTGAATCCGGAAGATACGCTGCCTGCTGAAGCTGCTGGAGGATTTGGGCACCCGAATTCACCCATCAGGGATCAGGGACACAGGTCCTATAATCTTTTATTGCTAGAATTAAGAATCATACTACTTTAATTTCTACGACGTGAATGACAGTTACAGAATCAACGGATGAAACTTCTTCATTTCAAACCCAGCTTTGCAACTAGCAAGTACAGTTAAACTGGAGTTGATCATCTCCTCTCTCTCTCTCTCTCTCTCTCTCTCTCTCTCTCTCTCTCTCTATCTGTGTGCCTCTCTCACCTTTTGTCTTTCTTTCGAGTCTCTTTTTAACATTTCCTTCCCAACACCAGATACTAAATTCTCAATAGAAAAATGATCGTTTCTAAAACTACCAACTCTTTGCGTATTACAGTATCTACAGGGATAGGCACTTTTGGAGCGGCTAACTTGCCAGACTGTAGCTTCGTTTTCTCAGTTCCTACCTAGTCCCTGTGAACGCTCTTCCCGGAGGACCTGAGCAGATTCCCTGGAGGCCCAAGATTCGGGTGCAGGCTGACCTTATGCCACCGCCGAAATGCTGGATCCGAGTGGGAGAAGTTTGTGAGGAAGCCAGAAACAGAACCGCTGACTGCACCGCCACCATCGCCTCTGAAGTCTCTCTACAAATTTGGCTGACGGCTCGTCTCGGGTTTAGGCACAGAGGCGTTCTGTCTGGGCGTGGGAGTGCAGACAGTGTCCACTTCAGCTCTCCTCGGAAGCGAGAGGCTGGCAGCCCCTTAACAGACCTCTCATCCATGCAGAACTCCACCGTTCCTAGGTCAGATCCTAACGTCTACGAAAAGATGGCGTTAACCAAGTCTTGAAGTTAATAAAGGTGGGACAGATAGAGGAAGACAAATATCATCCCCGGACTCGGAGTGAATGAAGGGGGCAAAGGATGATTAACTGCTCGGCTTTGCTCTTACATTTCAAACGCAATCTCAGGTTGATGCCCGGTAGAAGACTCAAGCTTGGGGAAGGGTGGAAAGGTAGGGGGTGATTAAGGCCTCCTGCGTGGACTAACAAAGTCGCCTTGACATTCAAACTCCCTGGTGCAGCTCAATTTTTTTTTTCCTTGGGTCGTTTGTTGCATTTATTTTTGTTTTCTGAGCCTTAAATTTTGACTCAGTAACCTCATGCAGATCTCTGTGGTGATACCCCCCCACACACACATGTCCATTAACTGCCTGATTCCTCAAGATAGACCTTAGCGAGAACTTGAAGACCAGTGAGAGGGAGCAAAGCCCCTCTGACCAGTTATTGCTCCCAATCCCAGCCTATAAGTCCCGGCATCTCCAGCTTTCTCAGCAGCCCGGAGTTGAGAATTTGACCGAACATTTCTGGAGGTATTCCTGTATCTAAAGTTGCCGCCTGAATTTTAGTCATTCTGCCTCCTGTGAATCCAACTAATAATAGTAGAGGGAGTATTTTATTATTATTATTCATCTCATTCCTCTTAGATTTGGACACCACGCAAGAGACAAATATTTTCATTAAGCTGATTTCGTTCCTAGAGCAATGAGACCCGCTGTCAAGTGACAACGGTGTGTGTGTGTGTGGGGGGGGTGCTCAGGAATGAAAATCAAAATGGAGAAGGAACAGAAAAGAGAAGGAGGAGGAAAGATGGGAAAGGATGACCCTTAGGCCTGCGAGGGGATTAAGGACATCTATAGGCTTAAGGAGCAACAAATTAATTTACACAATTCTGCAAGAGCCCAGATGGCCTTTAATTAATCCCTTCTAAAGAAAGAACCCGGCCTGGGATGCGCCGGTTGCCTGCTCCATTAGCTCGGTTTCTTTCGCAAGGGTCCAGACACCATTCGAGGTAAGGCGCCGAGAGCTGGTGGGGGAAGTGGGAGAGGATGACGCGAACTGATGTGGGCGGAAGGGACGAACTTAAACTACTTTTCCATAAAAGGGCTGGCTTTTCATTATTCCTCTCTTTAAAAAGTAATACCCTCTTCATTCCTGCTCCCTCCTCCCCTTTTCCATTTTATTTTGCACAATTAATTGAGCAGGGCCTCTGGCCCGGGGCTGGAACCACACTCTTCTTGCCAGGTCCCTCCCCTCTTGTCTCCGCCCAAGGGACGCCGGGGTGGGGACTAGGAGGGCGCGGCCTTACGGCTCCCTAATTTCAGCCAATCAGAGGATGTGGCGCTCTCTAGTGGGCGTGCCCGAGGAGCGAGGCCAGGCAGAAGCTGAGCGCTATTGGAGACGATGGTTACGCCCAGACCTGCGCCCGGGTCCTCAGTCCCGCCCCGCCGAGCAGCCCCGGAGTGACGTCCCTGAAAGTTCTCATTTTGACCCCCCACCGCCCCTCCCTTGCGTCCCCCAGCTAAAGAGCGGCAGGGAGGGGTGCAAATGTTTTATTACCTTTGAGAGCTTCATCCGAACTGTCAGACCCGGAGGGAGAGAGGAGAGAAGGGAAGAGCCGCGAGAGGGTCAGTTTGGCCAGAGGACAGGGTTTAGAAGAGCCAAGCCTGGAAAGCCAAGGAGAAATGCCAGAGAGGAGAGAGAAAGGCGGAGAGTGAGACCAAGAGAGGGCGCCGGGGGTGGGGTGGGGCGGGGGTCTCCGGGCCGGTTTGCAGAAGCGGACGGACGATCGGAGCGAGAACCGACCCGTCAGACTTTTCACACTTAGGTTTTTCTTTTTTTTCTTTTCCTCTTTAATCCTTTCCGTTACCGCTACTCGGGCGCCGCGCGGCCCAAAGGGGAAGCAGGCGCGTGGGCGCGCCAAGTCCCCAGGCCGCCGGAGCAGTGACACTGCCCTTTCTGGCACAGTAGCTCCGGGCCCGCGGCCGTGGCAGGCGCAATCCCCGCGCGGGCCGGTTGCGCTCTGTCCCCCGAGCGAGAGGCGAGTGCGAATCAGCTGCGCAGAGGTGGCGAGCGCTGAGAGTCCCAGCGAGATTAGAGGCGCGCACCGGGCGAACGCGGCTCCCTTTGAAGCTCCCCAAAGCGGGCGAGCCAGCCCCCACCCTCCTACATCAAAGTGTACGCTCGGTGGCTTCCAGCGTTGTTGCAAACTCTCAGGGCCCGGCCCCGGGCTTGTTTTGGTGATTTCCCGCGGGGGTGGAGAAGAGAAGTAGAGCCCCCTGAGCCGCGGACGAGGGACGAGCGCCTGGGACCGAAGTCCGGGACTCTCCGAACCAAGGCAGCGCCGAACCCGCCCGCACTCCCGCGGCCCTCGCCCGTCGCCGCCTCCAGCGGGGTGCTTGGACATTTCTGCTGCGCAGCTCGGACAGCAGCTCCGGGCGCCCGCGACCCCGGCTCCATCGGCCGGTCGCATCCCAGTGAGCCGAGCCCACCCCCGGCGCATCGGGCTCTCCAGAGCCCCGGCGGGGCCACCGGCCTGCGCGGCTGCGGGTTCGGGCCTGGCTGTGGGATGTTAGCTGTGGGGGCGATGGAGGGCCCCCG